AAATGTGGCAAAGTTGCTCAAGAGGTAAATACAATATGCAATATGTGGCATGCGCTGATCTTATTTGCGGAAATGTGGCAACCCTGCACCCCAGCTATGCAACAACAGTTAATGTTTTGGCTGCTGATTTACGTTTTTCTTCTTTTTTTTGTTGTTGTTGGTTTTTGTTTTGCAGAACTTCCGCTCGCATTTTTTTGCGTATCTTTTTTGTTTGTTTTTTAACTCTTTGCGTGTAAGATGCTTGAGACGTTGACGACAACAACAATGATTTTTTGAGCAATTGCGGTTGCCAAGGGGCATGGCAAGGGGCGGGGGGACGTTCTTTCATATTTGAAACGGCAGACAGAAACTGATTGAGCTTCAAGTTCATCGTCGTTGTCTGCTGTCTGTTGTCGTCGTCGTTGGCAACATTTAATCAAGCCAAGAAGCCAATTGGAAGACGACGCCAATAAGAGCAGGGAATGGAGGGGGATGTGGGGGGGTTGGTGCGAGAGCGAGTGCGGGTTGTGGGCGGAACACAGCAAAAGAAAACAAAGCAAACTGTTTGTTGTGATGCTAATGATAGTTCAGACAGCGAGCAGATATCGCAGTCGAGGCAGACGTGAGTGCGTGCACGCGACTATCTAAAAGATACAAGATACCCACAACAACAGATACAATAACAACATATACATATAAATATATATATATATATATATATATATACATATAGACGGCACTTTCAATGTTGGCCGCATTGTTGCGGGGGCGCCACCGGCGTCGATGTCGTTGCAAAGATTTATGACAACAACGAGGCAAGGTAGTATTTGTATTTGTATTTGTATTTATATTTGTTTTCGATTTGGTTTTTATACCCTTGCGCAGAGTATTCAAATTTTGTCGTGCAGTTCAAACAGAAGTATATATATATATATATATATATATATATATATATATATATATATATATATATATACCTGTAGTGGGACTTAACTAATTCATACTAATTATTTTTTGGTCTGATTGGGCTTTTTCCTGGGTTTGCCCCAATTCACGCAACAAATGTTGGACCACCAGAAATACTATAAATATTTCTTATTTTTTAATATATATATAAAAATTTAAATTTTATCATACATTTAATTTAATTTAAATTTGTCTTACTTTTTGTATTTTTTGTGTCGATTGACTTTAAATATATATGCCCGATCTCCGCTTGTCAGTCTGTCCGCAATAAAATCTATATCTTAAATATTTATCTAATTATTCTTTTGATTTATATACATTTTATAAATTATTTTATATTTATTGATGGCTGTCACTCAGTACATTGAATGGGAACGGATCGGACCACTATATTATATAGCTGCCATAGCATAGCATTTGTGCTCGTATTAAAGAAATCATTTCTTATATTTTATTTTCAATTATTTATTTATTAATTTATTTTTTAATCGATATGTTTGTTATTAAATTGTTCATATTTGAAAAACAATAATAATAAAGAATAATAATAACAATAATCTTCAAATGTGGCACATTCAGTTTACAGAAAATAGAAAAAATATTAAAATAAAATAAATTCAATTTCAATTCAATTCAATTTCGATTTTTAAGGGTATTTCATCTTCGGTGTGCTCAACACTCGATTATTAATTCTTCTTGTTTTTTGTTTATCTTTAATGGGGCTTTGGCGTTGGCGTTGTGCTGCTCTCAAAGGAGGAACAACAACAACAGTGCACCTGCAACATGCAGAGGTTGCTGGTTGGTCATTTGGCCCTGACAGCGAATGGGCCGCGCCCATTCCGCTTTTGCCGCCCACGCCAAACAGGTGTCTATATATAGAGTCATTGTTTATACGGGTTTCGCCATTCGAAGCGATCTCTCCGTGGATATAGTGCTCCAAATTGTTGCTGTTGCTGCTGCTGCTGCTGCCAGGTGAATGGCAAGGGGAATGGGGCAGTTGAAAGTGCCGAGTGGGCAACATTTTCATTTACCAACTGTTGCAGCGCCGCAAACAGCTTCAAAACAAGTGCGGAATGCCACTAAATGAATTAGAATTACATGAAAACACCCACAATTTTCTTGGTTTTTCCATTTGTAAAAAGTTGCGAGTTATTTCCCCTGATCTTAGCGCTTAGAGTAGTGATGTCCGTGGCCCATTTAATATTATTTGATAGCTCAGTTAAGGCTTTATCATAATGAATATTTTCAAATCTTATCTTTAGCAAGCAAAATCAATAAATAAACAAAAGTATTCTTTTCTTTTGCAACAAGCAACTTAATCATCACTTTTAACTAAACATTTTACTGTCTTATCTTAAGCAAGAATGTTGGCCATGCCTACAAATTAATATTCTATATTTTTGGACATGATATTTAAGTTTCAGTTTACTGTGCGTCTGTGGACAGTTTATGTTTTTCTTTTAGTTATAATATATTACATATACTATATAAAATCTGTGGATAAACATTGCTCGACGGGATTAGAGTTAGCTTTTGCCACAGCTTCTTATACAAATCTGCAGATTTATAAAAAACATTTCATGTTGAGTGAGTTTATGTGTCTGCTTCGACATTATAATCTTTTCCATTAATATTATTATTATACATATCACAGAGCATTTGTAAACGGTGCAGATGTTTATGTTTTGCTACAGCAATTTGTTGCCAGGCCAGGTTGCAACATGGTCAACCTAAGTTCCATAAATTGTGTCTTGCAACTATTGCATTTATTTTCAATCTTCATTCGAAATACATTTAACTGAAGCCTCACTCTCTCCCTCTCTCCCTCTCTCTCTCTATCTCTCTATCTCTCTCTCTCTCTTTCTCTCGCTCTCTGTCGATCTCTCTTTCTAACTGCAATGATAAACGACTCAATTGACATCGTGTTGAGCCACAACAAAAGTTTTGTAATCGATTACCAAATAGCTTTGCTTCGAGTGGATTTCACATGCAGACAAGAGCAGCAGCAGCAGCAGCAGCTGAGGGGCATGGAGGGAGCAGGGTGAATGGACAAGCGCTGATAAGGCGGCAGGTGCAGCAGTGTCAGCTGGCAAACATATAAGAAAAACGAAAGTCAACTCAGTTGCCTGCGGCTGATAAAAACTTTGGTCAGCGACTAAGAAAGAAGCAAGGTGGGTGGAAAGGGGACAGGGGACAGGGGACAGCGAACAGGGAACAGGGAACAGAGAACAGTGCACAGGGGGAAGGGGCAATGGGCACCTATTTGGGTTGCATGTGCTGGCAATTTGTTGTCGTTGTTTTTGTTGTTGTTGTTTTTGTTGTTGTTGTTTTGGTTGTTGTTTGCTTTTTGCGGCCGGCGGCGACCGATTTCATTTGACTTTTGCTGCGTTTGTTTTGTTTGCTCAGCGATTTGTGTAGATACAATTTTGTACAACGCACAGATAAACTGAGGCGGTTTGTGCCGCATTTGGGGGCACTGGTCTGTATAGGCAAACAAATTACAAACAAATTGTCGTTTGTCGATTGCTCGCAGAGACAAACAGAGTGAGAGAGAGAGAGAGAGAGAGAGAGAGAGAGAGGGAGGGAGAGACAGCAAAGAAAACTTTCGTTACATTTGTGCTGTTATCGTTGGGGCCGCACACACATCCATTTGCAGGTGGTGGCAAGCTGGCACATGGGATCACATGGGTCACTGGCCAAACAGACACCTAATGGACATCTTCTAGCCAGTTCTGAGCGCTGACATCTGAGTTACCAAGCCGCTGATTAGAACGTACGACAACGTCGAGTCGAGACTAACTTGCCACTTGCAACAAAATCTGTGTGTGTGTGTTTGTGTTGCATGCAGTTAAGTGATTGTTTCTGTTACCCTTTTAATGCTGACAAATCAAGCTGGCAGATAACAATTCAGTTCTTGTCAACAACTTACTTATTTCAATTATTTTACATATAATTTATCTGGCAAAAAAGAATACAATTCAATTGACACAAATAAGCGGAATTGAAAGAAAAAATAACAATTGCGACGGCTAATGGCAGGTAATGATAGTTAATATCGGTTAATGTCAGACGATGCCAGCTAATGGCAGACTCTGTTTAATGTTTAAAATAATAGCACAGCTTTTACACTTCTTTTGTGTGTTTCTTTTTCTTACTTGAATAGCGCAAAAAGAAATCAAATTTGTGCAAAATAATGTAACAGGCATAGTATATATATATATATATATATATAGATTTATATATATATATATATATTCTAGTCGATCTCAGAGTTGAAGACTCTAAATTAAAAGCTCTTGTCTATCATGGCTTAGATCAAGTTTATGTAATCGATAACTGCAAATATCGATACAATTTTCTGATTGCAATAACAGATACAGTTGTTAAGATGTAGCTCTTCAAAGGATATATGCTGATAAACTGGCATATTACTGAACGATTGTCAAGAAATCCATGAGCAAATCGATACTTATCGATTGAAGTAGAACTGATAAGTTTAGACAAGTTTAGTTGTAAAACAATAAACATAAACAGGAACTACAAGAAATGGCAAAATGATCAAAAATGCTTTGCAAATTGTTTGAAAATAGTTGGGAATTATTCGATCACTTTTATGGAGTACCCGAGTTCCGAGAAAGGCTAACTACTTCCCAGAGTTGCTTAATTATGGGTTGGCTCTCAATATGATATATATAATTATATATATATATATATGTATATCAATCTGTCTGTATTTCTCTGCCAAGTTTGGGTCATTAAAACTCATTTATGATGAGAATTAAATTGCCAGAACAATTCCCCAGAGTTTTTCATCAAGACATGCTCTTGACTCTCATCATTTCACTTTTTATTATAAAGTACCGCAATTTATAGCCCGCCCCTCCTCCCCTCACCTCCCCGCACCACCCACAAAAGTGACAAATTCTTTGTTTTGAGTGCAGTTTGCTAGAAATTGTTGTTGGATTTTCTTCTTTTTAGGTTTTCTTTTTTTGGTAGCATCAAAATTTTCACATGGTAAGCATTTTATTTGTATTATTTTATTATTTTTTACTTACGTGAGCGTTGTGGAATAAAAAAGAAGTTTTTCTTTTTCTTTTAATTTTTGGTTATCTTTTTATTTATTTTTTTTATTTTATTTTAACGAGCTGTGCAAATTTTGCAGTCTTGCCTTCTCTATCTGTATCGCTGTCTCTGTCTCTGTCACTGTCTCTGTCTCTGTCACTGTTTAAGTGTTTATTGCTGATGATGTTAATTTTGTTGCTTTGAACATTTATATATTTTTTGTTTTGGGGGACAGAGTTCGTTGACGTCGTTTTGTGTGAATTATTTGATATGCAACTTGGTGCATAAATTAACAATTTGTTGCAGCTGCATTTTCATAGCGCTAACGTTTTATATTCGCATTCGCATTCGCATTCGTATTTGTTTTCGTATTCGTATTCATTTCATTCGCATTCGCATTGCATTTTAAATAAAACAAATAGTGTTGAAATGGAAAAAAAAACAAAGTGTGTTTTTTTTGTGTATTTAATAACGGTTTCGGTTTTATGTTGCGGTTATTGTTGTTGTTGTTGTTGTTATTTGCATAATGCACTCGAGCACTCAGTCAATCACTCAATCAATGCTGCACTTATGCACTCATTCAAGCACTCATTCATTTATTCATTTAACAACTCGCTCAAGCTGTTGTCATGGCAGCTGTTTCACTTACCCCCCGCCCACATTTCTCATTCCCCCCTTTTACATAAATACCATCACACCGCCCCCTTCCCACCCCCCACAAACACACACACACACACATAATGAATGCATGTTAATAAAATGAAATTTACTCGAGCGTTCACAATGCAAAACAAATTGAAAAAATAATTAAAAAAGAAAAACAAAGTTTTTTTTTTGCGTTTTCTGAACAGAGTTGAACAGCAAAGAGTAAAGCATTCGGTGTTGGCAATAGGCAACTTACTGAAGATTTTATATATTCTATATATATGTATGTATATATTTATTTCCTGTTTCTTCTCAATTTCAATCTTGTCAACAAAAAAAAAAAAAAAAAAACACTCAGCTTAAGTCTATTTTTTTTATTGTACAGACTACAGGGCGTTTGCTCGTCGACTTTTACATGCAGCTTACTGTTAATCAATTTTAACGGTGCCGTCTACAAGTGTCAAAGATTCACAGCTTCCCTTATCCCCTCCCCACCCATCCCTTAAAGCTGTGGTGTCACATTTGTTGTAAAATTGATTTGCTAATGATTTTAGTTGGCATTTATGTTGCGTCCAAAAATGTTGGTCAAAAAAAAAAAGTGGAAAGAGTGAAATGGGAAATGGGGAAAAATTGGAAAATCAAAAGAACAAAATGCCTGAGATCGTTTTGAGCCCATTGAGCCATTTCCATTTCGAACATGTTTTTTTTTTTACTGGGCTGCCGCCAACCAACACAGCACAACACAACACAACACACGCTGTGGTTTCTCATTTATTTTTAGAAAGTTAATCACATGTTGAGTAGATCCACTGGAGTATTGGAGTACTGGAGTAGATCTTGAGTGTGGAACGAATGGACCACAACAACAACAACAACTTTTTTGGTATATTGTTGTACATGTTGTCTGCCCAATGCAGTAAAACATCAGTTTAACACAGCTGGCTGATCAAGTTGTTCAAATGTTAGCTAAAAACTGTTTATCAACACTGTTTGCCAACTTGCAAATCATTTTTATTGCGGCATAACAAATATAAAATGCTCTCTAAGACTATGTAAAAATAAAGTAAAATGAATCTTAATGAAAAATAATCGAAATAAAGAATAAATTAAAAAAATAAGATAATCTAAAATATTAGATAAAGAAACAATATTAAAAAATTACAATATAAAAATCGAATTTTTTTTTTTTTGCTGTGAATTCGTTTGTACGAAGTTTCCACTGATTCAGCTATCACAATTAAATTATATAAATATAAATTCCACACAACTTTTAACACAGAATCCATTTCCCTAGCAAAAACCAAAAAAAAAAACGAAAGAAACGAAATTTTCTGATAAGAAATATGCAATTTTCATTGCCCACAATTAAAAGTGTTGATTGACTCTAAAAACAAAAACAAAAATAAAAAAAAAACATTTCTTTCATACTGAATCGAAGCTTGTCGTTGATAATGATAGTGTTAACGAATATATCTCGACGAGCTGAGTCAGAGTCAAATCTTGATTCGTTGGGCAGATACCACCAAGCCAGCAAACGAGTTAAATTACGTGACTCAGAGTCTCTTCGTCCGTCCGTCCGTTCGTCCGTCCGTCCGCCCATCTGTCTGTCCACTTCTGATCCGCTTCAGTGCTTTACAACGCTCCACATATCAAAAAAAAAAAAAAAAAAAAACTAGTCAAGTTCCACATGAGCATTTGCACCGAAATACCAAATTGCGAGTTTTACAAGCAATTTAAATAATCAAATTTTTAAAGACAACCGAAAAGAAAACTTCAAGTTTTGTTTGCTGCAATCAATTTTGCATTTATTGCAAAAAAAAAAAACAAAAACCAAACAAAACACAGAAAAAGAAAAGGAAAGAAAAACAACACACAAAACACAAACAAAACAAAATTTCGGGCAGCGACGACGGCAGCGCTGCCAGCGGCAAACGCAAAGCGCAAAATGAGGCTGCCAGCAAAAAAATAAACAAACAGCGCCAGCAGCAACGACAACAACAACAACAACAGCAACAACAATTTCCTTTGGCTTATTTGATTTAATTTATTTTTGTTTTTTGGGTTTCTCAGTTAATTGTTGTATTATAGTATTATATAATATTGGATAGTTGTCTACACAAATTATAAGAGCAGAAATATGTGTGTAAAATGAAAGCAATTTAAATCATTTGCCAAACACAGCGCAATTTGTAATAAATCGTATTTGGTTTTTTTTTTTTTTCGTTTCGTTTCGTTGCGTTTTCTTAAGTTTGGTTTTGTTTTTGTTTTGTTTGCTTTGCACACAAACGATAATTTTTGATCGAATCGTTAACACACGCACACAACACACTACACACAGCTACAACAACTAGAAAAACAACAAACACAAAAACAAAAAAAAGACCAACCGCACGATGCGCTTTCAAAACTTTCGTCCGTCGCCTGTGGAACGCAAAACACAACTGAGCAAACCGACGATGCCGGCTGACAGCAGCAGCAGCAACAGTGGCAGCGACGTCGACAGCGAAGCTCGTGCTCGTGCTCGTGCGCTCTTCTGCCTCACCACCCGCTCACCTTAGTTCACCACACTCACACATACACAAAACATGCTAAACCCAACGCACACTGGGCTTATTATGCACTATTTAAAATGAAAAGCAATTTGGTACAAATAACAAAATTCAACTTCATATCGACAGCTATGTACATATTTATGTATATATATATGTATATATATATGTATTCTTAATTTTTAATTTAGTTTTTTTGGTTTTGTTTAATATATTCAATGAATAGTATTATTTTTGTTACACGCGTAACTAAAAAGCTTTTGCATTTTACATTTTGTACAAATTAAATAAACTCGGAGCCAATGTGCGTTTGGTGCTTTTTGGTTGTTAGTTGATGCTGAGTGAGTGTGTGTGTGTGCGTGTGTGGAACGAGTTGGCGCTCACTGCAATCGCTGCTGCGCTGCCCACATTCAAGTTAGAGTTGGCGGTGGCGTTGGCGCTGCTGCTGCTGTTGCTGCTGCTGAGCTTCTGCTGCATGCATGCAAGCAAATTGCGCAAATCGCATGCGTTTTTCAATAGAGCCGCAGATCGCTGGGCGTTGATTGCGGCGTATGCGTGCCATATGCGTAAGCAGCACAACTGGCAACTGCAACTGCAACTGGCAATTTAGAACGCATTGCAGGTCGTGTGATCAAAATCAACAAACAGCTAAACAGCCAAACAACAGAAGCAACTAATAACAAACAATGCACAAAGCATCCACATTGTTTTTGGTCAACCGCATTGCAGACGCGTGCGTTATTTCAAACACATGCGGGCAAAAACTAAAAACTAAAATAAGAAGAAAAAAAATACAAAAACAAACGGTTAACAGACCCACTGCAATATTGTTCACAGTGAACGAACACAAGTGAAGCACCCCGCCCACCTATCAGCACTACCCAACATAAACGTGCACATGTATACACATACACTTAGAAAAACTACATTTTAGTAAATGTCATTAAAATGAAAATCGCTCAATTACGAAAAATATTTCTAAAATGTAGAAAAGCTTATCCTAAATTGACAATCCCAAACATTTTTTCTATTTATTTCTTTTGTTAATATTTTCTATTATTAAGTAAAACATTTAAAAAAAATAAAAAAATAGAAATGCAAACCCTAATTTGAAGAAAGAAATCCTTTCTAAAATTCAGAAACAAGCTATGAAATTTACTAGCTATGCTTTCAAATTTGTCGTATAAATCATAGAAAAATCCCAAATTTTGAAATGTAAATCATAGTTTTCAGAAAGACACAACCAATTTTAGAAATTGACTTTCTGAATAATAGGCGCCAAAAAGTATGTCGATTTACTGAAAATTAGAGTGATGTTTTTGCTGAGTGTACACATGTATATTTTGCAAAAACATGTGTGCATTTTAACATGAAGAAGTGGAAGTTGCCATTCTTTGCTGTGTTAGTTACACTGTCGCACAAATTTTTTGAGCTTCTTCGTTTTATATTTCTTTCATAGCACTAATCAAATATTTATACGACATATTTTTGAAAGGTTTGCTCAAAATAAATGCATGTCATTGGCAAAATGTGAATTTCGCATCGAAATTATTTTAATGTTGTTCAACTGTGTAATAAACGCGCCCAGTTCTGCTGGCGTCGCTGCTGTTGGCCAAAAAGCTCAGCGAAGCGTGTGAAGCAGCAGCACCAGCAGCAGCAGCAGCAGCAGCAGCAGCAAACGAAACACTCACAGCAAGAGAGCGTCAGCGTCACGCAAGAGAATGAGTGGGAGCCAATGAAGATCGTCGCTTGGCACTGAAGGCGGCGGCTGCTCTGCCGAGGAAGTGGAAGTGGAACATGAGTGCGCTGCCAGCGTCTCTGTGTGCGTGTGTGTGTGTGTGCATGTGTGTGCGTGTATTTAACATTGTCATGGTAACTTGAACGTGGGAGAGCCCTTTGCCAAGCTCTTATTATTATTGTTGTTGTTCTTATTGTGGCCTTTATTCTTGTTGTCGTTGTTGTTGTTGTTGTTGTTGCGGTGGCCTCGACCGATCAAGCGAACAAGACTTCGTTCGACCAGCTGTTGCTTTTGTTTTGATTATTCCTCAAGCAGTGTGCGAGTGAGAGAGCGAGCGAGAGAGAGAGAGAGAGGGAGGGAGGGAGTCAGCCATTTGGCAGA